TTCCTTCTCTGAAAAGGAATTCAGAATTAAATTCAGAAATATTTCTAATAATGTGGAGTACTTCTGACAGAACTGTTTGAATAATTAAAGGAAGGAACTCCGCTACGTTACCTTTGCTGGTGACTGAGTCTATTTTACTAAATCAGTATTGTAAAAGAATCTCATTTAAGTTGTTGATTTCTTCTCCCTCCTCTCTCTCCCTTCTTCAGAGTGCTTCGGTCAGAGTATCTGCTGTTAGGGCACGAGAGATCCTGTGATGCTCGGCAGATATTAGTGGTGGTAACAAAACAAGTACAGGAATTTCAGCATTGAAATTTCAGTTGGTTTCACTGTAGTAGCCAAGAGCATGCTTGTTCTCCTCTACTGTGAAAGGATGAGTGCATGAGTCAGAGGAGATGGGGAAAAGAGACTTATCTTCTGGCCTAATTTCCACCTTGGTTCACCACTGAACCTCTGAGTCCTAGGGCACAACTTTGTTTTTCCAAATCTCACCCTAAAGAGGAGAAACCTGGGGAGCCTTCTGCTTGGAAAACACACCGCGTCAGTGGATTTCGCACATATTTTTTTAATTTTCAGGCGCCTCTGATTTTTTTCCAATGGTACTGTGGCCTCCTGCATAACCAGGAATGCTGTGATGACAGCAGCCTTGCTCCAGCCCTAAACATAGTCTGTCCAGAGCAGGTTCAAGGAGATGACATGGAAGGTTCACCTTTGAGGAAGCGGCGTAGGAGATCTCTGTATTAGGTCAATATTACAGTGAATTTTTGCACACAGTGAGGGAAAGACATGTACACTAAGAGTAGGTGGTGATGTGTTAGTGAAGTGGTTTATGAAAGCTGCTTCCAAGCAACGCAGAAGGTATCATGCAACCTAAAATTTGGTCGTTTATAAATATTTGTGTTTGTTTGAACATAGATACTGGGCTGATAAAGGTTCTTCTTGTGAGCGTTCACAGAGAGTTGGAAGGGAAATAGTAAACCCACCTTATTTCATATGATATTGAAGATGTGATTTTTTTTTTAATAATCACTCCACAACTTAATCATTTCTTTGAGAAATTTACAAATCCAATTTACATAAGCAATACAAATGTGATGGCCTAATAGTCTCTTTAATGAGGCAAATGTGCTCATTTATGTTCAAGTCATGGCAAAAAGAGAGGAAAAAACGGACACAGAACACCTTGTCTTTGCCTATGGAAAATTTTTCACAGTAAAGTGTTGAACAAAGACTTTCAAACTTGCTTTCCAGAGCCTTTCTGATGTATCCTGCACGTTATTCAAGGAAAGAGCTTAAATTTAAAGAAACGTGCAGATTGGGTCTCTTCTTACTAGAATCTCTTTGTTCACCGGTACCAATAATCAGAAGACTGCAGCATCAAATTAGCAGAAATCTTCCTTTATTTGTCTTAAGTTCAGATACTTTGGTAAAAAAGAGCAATAAGTAAACACATAGGGTTTAAATATTCTTTTTAAAAAAAAAAAAAATCAGCATTTTAAATGACCTGGGTTTATTTCTGTGTCACAGGATATTCTGAACAGATCAGTCGAGTAACCATTCAGGATGGTCTTTATTACTATTTGTGGGACTGATAACAAATATACCTCTTTTTTTGATTACCTTAAGCGATTATGTGGTGAAATGTTGAGGTGGAGGATTTTCATTCAGTAGCTGAGTCTACGTCCATTATCTGGTTGTACAGCATGAAAATTCCGTGGTTCAGTTGTTCTTTCAGAGAAGATTTATCTGACAAATATTTCCCTAAGGCAGCGTTCCATCATCAGTGCCAGTCTCTCAGGTGGCATTTCATCAGGAAGTGTCACTATCAGAGGAAGGAATAAGACTCTGTCCTTCCACTAAAACATGAGCAAAACAGTAGATGCAAAGACCTGGAAGGAAACACTCTTCAGCACAACAGAGGACTGTTACAGAGGCATCAGTCAATGCCTTGGTGTAGTTGGTACCATATTAAGCACAGCAACAGCTATGTTCAGTTCTGGTTTTGACAGAAGCTAGCATGGAAGTCAGCGGTCAACCCTAATATTCTTATTTGGTGTTTTTGGCATTAGGAAAGTGCAGATCTCATCGGTTTTTATTCCTGATGAGTGTGGATGCTTCAGATCATAAACCTTTCATGGTTCCCGGCTAACTGTTGCCTCTCCCTAGGCTTCCAGCCAGCGTGATTTTGTAGGGAGGAATTATGCAACTTTAGGCCTGGCCTAACTTTAGGGTTAGGGTTATAAAGAAGTAAATATTTGAAATACAAGCTGTTTGAGGCTCTTCAGCAATGGGGGATGTTAGCAATGTTACTGGACATACTGTAGGTAGTGTACCTTATGTACATATTGCTGCACACTGGGTAGTATTTGTCAAATGGGAATGTTTCGATTACTGGCAAAAGTTATAGTGGTATTTATAGTGGTCACTGCTGAAGTACTTGAACAGATTCTGGTAATCTGTCAGCGTGAAGTACAGATATGGAGCATGGATACGGAGATGAGTGTCGAGCCTTTCATATTTCATACTCACCAGGCTCACAACAGTGTCCCATATTCATAGTACCAAAAATATGCAGTGGATGTGATACTAATGTGTACAGAAGAGAGTATGTGCAGTTTGTCTGCATGCACCCACATGCAGGGCTGAGGCGTGATGGGAGTGGAGGGCAAGCAAAGAAACTAAAACAAGAGCAATTGTTCATTTTCCTTTTTCCTCCCAGCCCTCCTTTCCGCGTCGTCAGTTTGTCCCCAGGTCACACTAATGCGAGCTGTGGGATATGGAGAGCTCTGATCCAGGCAACTCTAAGGGCTGTTAGATCTAGAAAGTCCCTTATTTAGAAAGCTTAGATCTCTTCTTTCCCAAGGAATTATAAGGTTTGGCTTTTTTCCTTAGACTTGAGTAGATTTGTGATGAGATTTTTAAAGGTTTTTTTAATAAAAAAAATTGTTAGAACTAATTTTTCTGTCCCTCTAGGGCTTGTGCATACTGCTTAGTTGTCTTTACCAGTACAGGAATATGAGAAGAAAGCAATAACAAATTTTACAGGTGTTGAGAAAGGAAAATAAGAAAGGATTTTTTCTCTAAAATGTACTGCAGATAAAAAATGTTTATCATATTAAAGTTTTATTGTCTGTCTTTAGTGATTAACTGTATATATTTTCATTAGTAATTAAAGTAACCTTACCAAGAAATATAATATGCTGAGAATGTGTAAGACATAAGAATATAAAAACAAGTTAAGTAGATCATCCCTTATGATTTTCTAAGCTAATTTATTTTTTACATCAAAATTAGCAGTGATTGGGATCACCCTAAATTTGATTCCTTGGCATTTTACACCTGCAGAAATACCCATTTTTAGTTTTCTTTGTATCAAATAAACACATTTTAAAAAATAGCCATGTGTTCTTGGCCTTAGTCTCCTGATTTATTCTTTGCTTGGGAGACAGTACATATTTTATTAAAGCCATGACATCTTCAATGAGCAAAGCATTTGCCCTAGCATCTGCTTAAAAGTATAATGAGACAAATACACAAGTTTAATAAGGTCACGAGTGGATATTTTTGGGCTACACAAGGTAGCAGGAAGCATACCCTTTCAGATCAGAAGTTATTTTTGGCCTCTGGAAACCTGGACCATCTTAGACCAGTGTGCAGCTGCTGGGCTAGCCTGGCTCTTCCAGGAATGCTGTGTGCTTTCAGCCTGCTCATCACCAGAGCGTTTACCCTGGCTACTCACCTGCCTGTGTGGGACCTGGCCAAGCCCAAATGTTTTGCTGACCTGTCTGAGTGACCATCTGAAAGTGGGAAGATGCCATTACTCAGAAATACTTTGGTAGATGGTTCCACGGGCATTAAAAGCTCACACTAGAAGCGCAAAGCCTGTCATGTGGTTGGTGAAGCATCTGTCTTTCAAGAAAATGCTGCTGTCTTCTGTCTCAGGCAAGGAGCATATGATCTGTACAACATGCAGAGAGAAACACAGTGCCTGGGGATGGGATGGTGCCATGACCATTTGTCAGCTACTGCCAAAGGGAGAGCAGCACTTAGAGTAATGGGGGTCCTCTCCTCTCTGCTTCTAGCCGTGCATGAAGGAACGTATCTTCCCATCTCCTGGTAGTGTCTTAGATTGGCACATGTTTCGCAAAAGGTAGTGAAAAAAGAAGTAAAGAAGACAAAAAGTCAAAGCAAATGCCGTGTGTGGGAGAGGAGATCGTCAGTCCCAGGTCTTAAAGTAAATGCTGGGCAAAAAGCTGTTCCTTCCTGCACGGCCCCAACTGCTGTCTTGGAGCATAAGGTGGAGCAGAAAATTCAGTCTCCAGCCCTGCTCTCTTCTTGCCTTTCCTGTGGCACCTGTGGATATGTCTGCTGATGGTGGTGCTTGTGACAGTTGTTACGTGGACGCTGTTTCGACACTGCCAAATCCTTTTGCACAGGTCACCATCTGCTTGGTGGTGAATGGCAGTTGAAAGGCTCTGTGTAGCCCATTCACAATTTCTGTTACTGTCCAGACCTCTGAAGTGTTTTATAAAGCTTGTTTAAAAGCTCAAACAATTTTTTTTGTTGGTCTTTTCTTCAGAGCCAACATTTTGTTTCTTGTCTCATGGTAATGAATTAGCTGTACATACAAGTGACAGTTTGGGGAAATGGTAGATGGCTCAGGTCATGCAGGGTGTGGCCTTTGTAGGAAAGATGAGACTCCCTCTTGAGAAGCTCTTGTGAAGTTGGCTTTAGAATATTTACCAACTACCCTTCTCAGAGAAATGACAACCAACACACTGAGCAGATCTCGTTCTCGGGGACCTCTCAGGCAGGGGAGGTAGCCAGTATGTCTGTACTGCTTTGGGCCTTCTGAGCTTCCATGGAGAATTTAGATTTCCATCTAAGTTGCATTCAGTTTTTGTTCATATTGGCTTAGAATATGTTTAATATATTTTTTCTTTTTTTTTTTTCTCTGCAGTAATAGTAAAAATCTGTTTTTCTTCCCTAACTATGTGCAGGCTGGCATGGCTTTGACTTACGATCCAACAGCTGCTATACAGAATGGGTAAGGAATGCATGTTTTCCGGTGCCTTTTAAAAATCATTTTGAATGCCATCTTCTGTTTTCTCTTTCTGTGGTGAAACGTACTCAGAAACAAATTCACTCAGTCATATTTTGTCTGAAGCATGTAATGCTATATTGTCAAGTTCTTCTTTTAGTTTCCTTTTTGTTTTTATGCCCTCTTGTTTGTAATATCCATTCAAATGGGAAGCTGTTTTTCCATAACAGTTTCCATCTCTATTTGGCAAATGCTAGTGGATGTTTTTTTAATCTCTCTCTGTCATGAAGTGGAAGCCAGTAAAATTTCCCTTTACTGCGTTTGCTTTTGTTAAAATAATCATTGAAGATTCCAGCATATTTTGGATAATAGAGATGTTACTTCATCTGGGATAGTCTCTACAGGCTGGCTGGCTTCCATGGCATTGTCTGAATAGAAATGCCAAATAGGGAGAAAGCCTTAAATTAGTGTGTAAGCAGATGGGATTTCAGGGTAGAATTCTGAGCAACACTCTTCTTCATTTCTCAACTACCATTGCCAGCACAAAGAATTGTAACTTTTTTCGAATTTAGCAGAGAAGTTGTATTATTGTATTATTTACCTGCATGAGTACGTTTCCAATTATTTAATGAACTAGAAAAACAGAGCCTTGAAATCTAGCTATCCTTTCAGATAGGGTAGCAACAATTTGAAGAGAAGCAGGAGTTTTGGCCCTGAACTCTTTTACAGTCACTCTTCAATCAGAAGGATGTTTGATATGATTAGCAAATTCTGTATATACTCTCATCTGTGTTATCTAGCTGAATATATTGATATAGATGAGAATGAGTTTATTTGTTAAATATTTGTTAGGGCACTGTTAATTGAAGCATTTAGGAAAAAACTAACATTCCCTGTTTAAAAAAAATCAATTATAATAATATATTTTGCTTAATTGCCCTTTACATACAGTAGTTTTGTAGGACTCATGATATTCCCATGTTGTGGAGGAAGCAACCAAACCAGAGCAACTCAGAAAACAGATGATGTTTGCAAAGTTGTGATTTCAGAATTCTCTGGTTCTGTTTCCCTGCTCTGACCTCCCAAGCAAGTCTTTCTTTTCTAGCATCATACTTTTCAGCTGAACACATTATAGGCTATAAATAAAACCATCATTAGTTCATAATCCACCAGTGTTTCATCTGGATAACTGGCTTTTATTTCAAATGAATTTCTGCATGTCAGATGTGTGAGCGTTTTGGAAACTGTAATTTGAATGACCCTTTGAGATGAATATAATTTTGCTTCCAAAAAAAATTTAGTTTTGAAAGTATGGAAGTTATCTCAGAATCAGATATTGTTTCTATCAAAGAGTACCCATGCTATCAGGTTTTCAGGGTGTTCAAATGGTTTGGTTACTCAATTGTTTGAATACACAGTCACTGATCATTGGGAAAAGAAATAGTACCCAATGGAGAATTTCAGCTCTGCAGTTTTTAAAATGTTCTTTTATTTGTAAGGCATGAAGTAAACTACAGCACTGGATATCTTTCCAAGAGTGACAATTAATCACTGCTTTGACATATCTCTTCTTTCTAGAGTGTCAAAATATTTTAAATTTCATCAGGACAAAATCATCTCATTCAAAGTGCTCTTATGGTGAGATCCTGATCGTGTGCAGTATTATGAGAAGAAGCACTTACTATGTTGGAAAATCAATATCTTTACCAAAAATTAGAAAACTATCCCATCTTTTGGTGGCATCCTTAAAATGCTGTCACCTGAGGATCACTAGGACCCTTTAGTTACAGTTTCTTTTTAGCTCCTCAGGCATTCACTTAATAGTCTCTATGTGTCCTGTAGTCATAAATTCTTACTCTTTTTCATAAGCCTCTTTACTTGCAAGTACAATGAAAATCTAACTCCTGGGTTTTATTTTAGCTAAGTCCAGGAGCACCTCAATGCTTTGCTTGTGAAATGTACAAATGCGGTTTGTTGCTCACCGACAGGAGGCACAGGTATCAGAGCAGGCGTGCTTCCTGGTGAAGGGGAGTTAAGGGCCCTTAAACACTGTCCAGTAAAACAGATTAAATTAATAGTCAGTGAAGGGGCGTTAGGCAAAGAAAGCTGCTTCCTTGCCGCAGGGTGGTTCGGTGTAGCGGTCAGGTTACGCGGGCGTGGACCCCTCACACCGCTCGGGACTTGTTGCTGTGCTGTGCCGAGCGTGAGTTGCTCGGTCCTTTGGGTGCCTCCCAGTGTGGAGCTTAGTGAACTGAGGCTGGAGGTCGGAAATGTAAAGATGCCAAGCCAAGGTGAAGATTCAGGTGAGGTAAAACTTAAAAGAAAGATTTATTGCCCCCACCTTTTAGAGCCCTTTATAGGACTGATAGATGTGTTCTGATGCATGTGAGTTGTGAAGGCCACGCAGGTTTATATGGAGGATGGAAGCTTACTAGAGAGACACATCTCTGCAGGTGTCACAGGGCAGTGTTTAAAATTCAGTGTTTACAATTACTGAAGAAGTGTGGATTATGTTAGATTTTGTGTTGAGGCATAACCGAACCTCAAGGAGGAATCTGGACTCTTGTATGTTGTCCAGATGAAAAGGTGGGTTCTCACTGCCCATGGTGTAGTACTGTCACTTTTATTACTGTATAACTGCGTATTTGCCTTGAAAATCTATGGTAGGAATTAGGAAAAAAAAAGAGAGCGAGAGAGACTTGCACTAAAAATAGCTAAGATTCTTTCCCCACAAAGGAATAGATAATTTTCTTCTGAGTCTATTATGTTGTAAAGCTTGATACTCCATTTCATTGTATTGTTTTTATGCCCTTGTAACTCTCTTTAAGCATCCAGTAGAGTTACATCAGTGTAAAACTCTTATAACAGACTGGAGAATCCAGCCCATAGTGTATCATAGCATTGCAGTGTGAGTTACTGAAGATGTAACCACACACTTCAGTAGATAAGCTCTTTTCCACTGCCAATCTCTCTGTGCCTTTTTTGTTTTATAATCAGCCTGTTCTGAATTGCATTTACAAAGGTACTCGGGTTTTATTTTGGGGAGTAGTGTAATATGTTGTAATATGCTATTGATTTTTCAATTTGTGGTATTAATATTGTTTTAGTGGTTTAATGCACTCGTACAAAGAACAAAACAGAGCTCTTGTACTTGCACTGGAAGGATGCTCATTTAAAATGTTCCCGAGGCTTGAGTCCTCCTGGCCATTTGACTAAGATTGTGATGTACTGTATCAGTTTAATATCTGATATCTGGGGGACTATACTGTGTATTTGCTGGCCAATGGGCTCAATATTCAGATAGGTCTTTTTCATCTCAAACATCTGACTGTGTAGCTTATTGCAAGAGAAAATTGCTGCCTTGATAACACTTGGTAATACTCTTACATTATGTGAGCCCCAGGATACTATTTATGAATCTAACTTTTTCAGTACTGCCCGCAGGCACAAGGCGTGAGCAAATGGTGTTTATTGCAGTGCAAATAGGATTTCGCTCTTGTGCAGATTCTAGATGGAAGCTTGCACATTCCCCCATAGGATGGGAACCATATGGATTTTTTTTCCTGTTTTTTGGCAGGGAAATAGTGACCAGACGCTACAGATAATGCAGTCCCCAAATGCGGACGGAGGGTTGATGTGGGAGGGGAGTATGTGCTTTGTCTGTTAAGCAACAGAAACTGTTCTTAAAGTGTTGCCTGTGTGTGCCTGATGATGTACTGGGAACGTGGTTCATTTTAAGATCTCTTAAATTAAAACATTTTCTTTTGAGCCCCTTAAAAACCTCTCTTTAGGAGCATCCAGGAACAACTTTTTACCTCCTGGTGATGACTTCTCCCTGTGCTTATGGAATCTGGGCATGCTAAAAAGGTCTTATTTTTAATACAAGAGCAATGTTTATTTATATGTCTCACCCCTCCCACCTGCCTTCTTACACTTTTGCTGCTTGCATTGCAATTGCAGCTGACGGGCAGGGACACTGCCCGCAAAAAACTACACAGGCCAGTATAAGGATGCAAATGGCATTTGCGGAAAATGTGACAGAACCTTTTGGGAAGCTCTTTTTAGAGCCCACAGGTCTACTACTGTAAAGCCTACAGCTCCACAAGTACCATACCAGATACTGTACAATATAATGCAGGAACTTCAGGGGCATAACTGAATATATCTAAAATGAGTCAAAGCCAGTATAATTCATCTCTCTTTCCACTCCTCTTTCTGATGTACATATTCTGAGGACTAAGAATCGTGTATTCATTTGGACTTTACCTAAAACGCACATCTTCTACCTCACTTCACATCTCCCTGTGCCTAAAGAAAAAAAAAATATGGAAAGCTTAATATCAAATACAGCAAAGTCAGAAGCTGCAGGTCTTGTTAAAATACTGTCGGGTTTGCACCAGAGGAAGCCACTTTGGCATTTTTGCTCCTCCTGTCTTTTATTAGGTCCCCGGTATGTCTCTTATGCTGATTTCATATGACATTACCCTATTTGTATATAAAGGGAATTTGGGGAGGTGCCTCCATGTCACGTGGATGAGAGCATGTTGAGCCCTCTTTGTGAGTGGGCCCTGCCAGGGTGGTGCATGGCTCCAGTGCTGGGGCAGGTTGAACATCCCACACCTGGTGCAGGGGGATCCTCCTGAGTCTATCCTCAGCAAGGACAACCCTGCCTTCACCATAACGCTGTACTTCACGTGTGGCAGAGATAGACACATTCTTTTTTTTTGGATCTCTTTGGACACAAGTGACACTGTGGCGGGAAGACAAACCTTTGTCTCTGGGCATAAGGGATTCCTGATTGCAAAATGTTTGACCTACAGCCAGAGTGTCTCATTGTTAAAACTGATTCATTATTATTAAAATCGGAATACATGAACTGGATTTTCTTATATTTTCATTTGCTGTGTCCGATTTCCTTTCCTTCTCCCCTTTGATTCTCCAGTGCATTAATTTTCACAATATAGCTGAGCATCCTGATAGTGTGTTTTATTTGATGCTTATTTGAGAGCATTCCAAACTGTGACAGATAAATGGTACTGGCAAGGGTATTGGAAGGGCTGTACTTTCACATTATCAGAGTGTGTATTCTACAAGCTTATGTACTACTCAGATAACTGCATCTCTAAGCTGAAACTAGAATGGTTAGCTGTCTGTCAAGTTCTTGGCATAGCACACGTTTTCTGTAAATTTGGTAGTATTTGCTGTGATTTATTGGAGAGTTTATTGCAAAGTGTCAGCCCTGCTTCCAAATGGAAAGTTGTTTCTCCCCTGCACTCTCTTTGTCCAAGTGGTTCATCACGGCATGAGTATGAGTGCAGCATCAGTGCCAGGCTGGTGGATGGAATGAGAATAGAATGAACAAAAAAGTGTTGTCTTTTCAAAAGAGTTTTATTTTTATACAGTCCTTCAGTTTCAGAGGTTGATATGTATTTCTATACTTTATACCTTTTGCTCATAGAATAAATTCTGTCAGCTTGCCACTGACTATTTTCATTTGCTGCATGCAGCATTTCTTAGTTCATCCACTTAGCAACAACATAGCCAAAGTGATTTCTGGTTAACCTTGATCGCAGAGAAGACCCCTGGAACAGGACTTAGATAACATATGCATCATGCTAATGCCATAGATGAATCCGGGTAGTGCTGCAAAGATGTTTTCTCCGCTGATGTTGTGTGAACTTCATGTTTGATACAGCAGTGAGATATAAATGCCTTTAAGCTCTCATAATAGAATATATATAAAATTGGGCAAAGGCACAGTTTTAAAATAGTCTCTGTGTGAGCATTGTAAGGGCAGATAAATGTTCCTAAAATAGCAATATATTTCTATTAAACAAAAAAATCACTCAGACGCCACCTGCTGCTTTTGGCATTTTAAAATCTTATTTGGAATAGAGAGAACAAATGATTGCTTCTCTGTCTCCCTTTCCCCTCCTAACTTCGAATATTTCTGCCCAACATTCAAAGGCAGCAGCCTGTTTTTCTGAGGCTATTGGTGGGCTGAAGCTGGTGGTTATTTGAGCCTGCATCCAGAATGAATGCATCCAGTCTGAACTAGACTGATTAGTACTAAATCCGGGATGCCAGGGTGATCAGGAAATAGAGCACTTGTTTAAACACCAGTAATGATTTTCTTGTTGCCTGGCTCTCATGGAAAGCTACTGTTGATTGCCTCAGCGTGAGGAGAAAAAAAAAAAAAACAACAAACATAAAAAGACAGGGAGTATAATCCCCTTCACTGTTACAGGGAGAGCATATGTGCAAAATCTTCTGTTACTTGTAAGATTGGTGTGTGCTGTATGAAAAGGATCTGCACGGGCTTTAAATCAAACAAGAGAACACTGCACAGGAGTGTTTCTCTCAGAGTCCGAAATATCAGCATTTTGACAGCTGTAAAACCATAAACATTCTTTTTTTTTTTTTAAAGCAATTTTATTTTTCTGGCTTATGGTTCAAACTGAGAAAAGAGCAAATGCAAAAATCTTTGTGAGCACACACACATATTAAGTACTTACACGATCTACCAGTAGCTATATTTTCCAAGTGTAATTTTATCAATAATGATTAACCCACAGGGAAGGAGAAGGAATATAACATTTATTACCATCAGCCAAGAGACAGTGCAACTTTTGTTCATAGCGTACAACAGTGGAAATAAAAAAAACCTGAAATCTGAAATTTTCAGTGCTGCCTGGGGCATTTAGACTCATAATTCCTGATACATTTCACCAGAAGGTAGGTTTTTTCCTCTCTGCCTAGATGAATACAAAAATGCCATGGTTTTTGTAGCTATCCCTTAATCAAATAATTCAGGCATGTATATGGAAAGTGTTATTCTCAGCACTGAAGCATTAAGATCTGAAAAGAAAACAGTACCGCATGTGAAAATGAAATCAGTAATATTGTCTTCGATATTGTGTAAGAAATTTCCTTTCACTAGCTAGCACTCTGGAAAATCAGCTGTCTTTGCATTTCAGATAATTACTTCTTGTATCATGAAGTTCTATATTTGTGCTAGTTGAAGTGAAAAAAAATATGCTTTGTGTAAATATTCCTCCTCCTTTCTATTTTCAAGATCTGTTCAGTGGAGCCATCACATCTTCTTTATTGTGGTTTTGGAAATAGATGGACATAATTACCTGTGTAGACTCTTTTTGTCTTTGCCCGGGAGGCACTAAATTAGTCGGAGCCTAGCAGGGAAAGGTTCAAAAAATCTTGCTTTTGTTCTTTGTTTGCAGATTTTACTCCTCACCGTACAGTATTCCAACAAACCGCATGATTCCACAGACATCAATCACGCCATTCATTGCTGCTTCCCCTGTCTCCACATATCAGGTACGTCAGATTCACGCTTGTCTGCTATGTTTCCCAGTTAATTATGTTTTGGATGTGGATGAAGGCAGAGCGTATACCACAGAAAACAGTGTGAGTGGTTGCGCTCTTGAGTCACAGTTTAGACAAAATGTTTTCTAGTAGTATTCAGATATCATTTGGTGTAGGGTTTTAAGTGTTTCCTTCATTCTTTACGCTAGCAGTGAAAGCCACTGTAATTTTTAATTTTGATCAACTTCTCTAGTAAAGAGCATTTTGATTCATTTCCAGTTGACAACAGCAGAAGCTTATCATTCTTATTGAAATGTTCTGTCATTTAGGCTCTCCTTCATTAGCCGAAAGGAATTTTTAATGTGGTGTGGGGGTTTTTTTTGTAGTTTATGTCGACTGTGTTGTATTTTGACCTTTTGACCCCAGCTGTATATGATCCAGTAACAGCATCCTTTAAAAGCACTCATTTTTATCCAATAATCCCTGACAAAGCAAGTTACTTGAGGATAACTGTCCTCATATCCTTCTTTAGTCTCCCACACATTTTGTTGTTCAGAATTTCTCTTTTCAGCATAACCCTCACAGATCTCCACTGGGAAATTATTGCCATGCTCTGACTTTCTGAGATGGAAGTCAAAACCAGATTGTATAGTTTTATTGTTAGCCATTCTCTGGGAATATATCACTTCAGTCTAAGATGGCGATTGGCTATACATTTTCCCCATTTCAGTTATTTCTTTCTGTCGAAGCTTAAGGCTGGGTCGGCCACTAAATTTTGACAAACAGTCTCTGTGATCCCCCAGCACCCTCTCAGGGGAGGATAATGGGGAATCAGAAAGAAGGAGACTGAGGCTGAAAAAAACCACTTGAACCAGTTTAATACTAACAATGAAGATGTTGAGCTATATACAGATATTATACAAGTATACAAATATATTCAATGAGAATATATTATTATGGAACCCATGCCCTGCAGATGACAACAAGGACACAAGCAGAAAAGTGCCAGACTGCACTCGGCAGCAGACCAGAGTGCCCAAGCCCTGAGTCCCAATGACAGTAAAAAGAACTCCCAAAACCAGAAGAGGAGCTGTGCTGCTCCCACCCCAAGAGTCAGGGCAAGACAACTGGTCCTGACAAACGTTGCTCATCTGCAGTTTGAAAACAAGAGGCGGGAGCACCAGGAGCACATTGAGAGATGAGGAACAGCCGATGGCAATACTCTCAGCACAGCAGCACTAAAGACCCTAGAACCCTTCCTAGTGGCCCCTGTATACTGAGTACCATGGGAAGGAACACTGTGATTTGTCCATTCAGGTCACCTGACCCATCCTCTCCTCCCCATAGGCACAGCTGCCCCCCTCCCCCGCTGTGATTGTCCCCTCTGTCAGGAGCCCCAAAGGACTTTTATCCTGGGGCTCTCAAACCAGGATACAAGTTTATACCATCCGTGCTCTTCCAGTCCTCAGTCCTACCTGAGATAAGCTCCCAGGCTTGCAAAGCTGCATGCTGGTTGCTCTTAATGTTGGCTTGTTGGGCGTGGTTAGTTTTGAGTTTATGTGCTTACAGGTAATTGTGGGGGATTGTTCTTACACTTACTGTGTTTTAAATGTTACCGTCAAAGATTTTATTTTTGTGTTATTTAGTTTTAGATGTCTATGTAACACTCACCAAAAAAGAATAGTTTTGGTGAGATAAATACAGTAAATTTCAGTAAATGGTAACAATGAAGAAATGTCAGTGTCAGAGAGAGAGGAATGTAATTCACATGCACTCTTTTCAGTAGCAAAGCTGGCTTAAGAGTCACACCTCCTCCCTCTTATTCAGGCCCCACAGCCACTTACTCCCATCACAGCTCCACAGTTCACAGTTGCTTCTTTCTCCCTTCCTGACTTGATCCATTGCATTGGTTCGTGATTTGATGCATTTGCACCAAAACCATAGACTTTTTTTTTTAACCCATGTTCTCTGTAGGCAGTTTGCAATGTAAGACCAGAGACGTTTGCCCTGGAACAGAGAAGGAACTGCAAGGATGCATGAGTGGGAGCAACGAGCAGCAGCAAGTTGTGACAGCTCTAATATATTTTAACTGATAGGGCTTCACAACAGAAAATTTTGTAGTAGTTTGCATGTGTGTGCACTGGCTTTGGTTTCACTGAACTTGCTTTTCAACAAAAAATCTGCTTTGATAAACTTGTGTTGAAGCACACAGTTGTACAATTCATTCTCCCCACTTGCTTCACAAACAAAATCACAGGACATCAGGAGGACTGAGACCTTGTAGCTTTCTCCTACTCATCCCTGCTCATACTCAGTCTTGAGATGCAGTTCTTAGTGAAAACGGAATAAATCATCCTGGGATCTCTGAAAATGTTTGAAAGTTCATGCAGATACTTTTGAAAATAAACTTTGAATATTTTACATCTCCTGCCCTGTCAGTTGGATGGTGTATTTGTGATTATATTGATGGATGAAAGCAAACAATACAAATGAAAAAATAGGGTGCCATGGAATATTGAAGACTGCTTTATATGAGATAAGGCGACCGTGGATCGTAGAAGTGATACAATCACTCAGACTTCTGACTTTGGTAGAAAACATTATCAAATGAAATTGGAAAGCTTTTTCCTTTGTCAATAACTTTATGAAGCATAAGTGAATCTTGCATTCAGTTACATGGCTAAAGTTTCTTCCCAAAACTGGCTCTGTAGCTGTGATAGAAAGAGTATTTTCAGATAAATCTTTTGAGTTCTGTTTTAAACTTTTCTCTGTGTGCTAATTAAAAGTATTTAATATGCAGGTCCAGAGTACTTCATGGATGCCTCATCCGCCATATGTTATGCAACCAACAGTAAGTTGATGCTTGCTTATATCCAGCTAAAAGTGCTTAGGCTGTAGCCTTTGTCTGCTTGTCAGCCACGTTAAAGCCCTATGTCGTGTAAGAGCAGCCAGCTGTTTCCTTTGACAAGACCTCTCCCCTGCAAAGATTCTGCTTATTTAAGGAGCACTGTTTGATTCAGTGAAAAGGGGAGGATGGGTGATATGTTATCTAATTGCATTGATTATAGGAGAATAACAAGCTCTAAAGTGTTGCTTCTGAAGTTTGGCTTTGGGGACTGCAAGATAACTGCATTC